ATCCCCTAAGTAGAGCTGAAGAATAGACTTCTACAAAGCAAATACCCTGGATATTATTCTTCACCACTGAACGCAGCATCACGTGGAAAATAGCAAAGAATAGAACCAAAGGCTATTTAGCAAAAGTTTTTTGAAATGTTCATTGAAGGTAACAAATCTTTTTTTTTTTTTTCCAGCTCAGTTAGACCTTAAAGTAACATATGTGATTCCAACAGAATACACCAAGATAGCTGGTCCCCAGCAGGATCTTCCTAAGAAATGTTATTCTTTAACTTGTTTTTACAGACATGTTTACAACAAGTTTAAGATTTTTTCCCTTACCTTAGCACAGTATTACATTATTTTAATGTACCTGCTTTGCAAATGCTGGACTGCAACAGATCTTCTAAGCACAGGTTAAATTCTGTATTCCAAGAGCCTCTTTGTCAGCCCAGCCTTAAATTGGTGCAACTCGCACCAACTGTAAACACCTGGCTTCATTCATAACATATTCAGACTTTCAAATCATCTCACCTGCATCCATTAGAAGTCATCACTGCCAAATTACAAAAAAAAATGCCTATTCCCCCTGCATTTTGCATCTGTAAAACCAGAGGCTGTGGTTTGAAAAATCTGACCTTTAATAATTAAACAGAAATTGAGTTGACAGATTTTATTCAATACAGTTGGAAAGGAAGATACGTAAAAATAACAGCCTCTGAAAAAATATTTGGAGTTTAAAAAAAATCACATTTTAAAAAGCCAGTAAAAATAACACCTATGACTACATATTCACTTACCCTACCATGCCATGAAAAACATACCATATGACTCAAACCTTTCTAGCAGCTCTGCTGCAGATACAAAACATTCCAAATCCTCCTCCAAATGCCTTCTGCCACTCTTCAAATCCTCACTGTCTATGTCCAAAATTTTGAATTCTCTTGTCCAAAACAAGACAATTTCTTCTGAATTCTCAGCTACTTTTCCTCTGAATGCTGTACCTTCCTGTATGCACATTCCTGCTGCATTCTTTTGGTTAATTCTTGTAATCTGTATTTAAATTTAAAGCAGACATGTGAGCATTCATGCCTGAAGGGCTCAAGCTTTCATTGGGAATAAGCCCATTTTAATTCCCACAGAAGAACTGCAGGAATTTTGCATTTTGCAGGACTGGACTCTGGCTTTGCATGACTTTGCAGTATTTTAAAAAGCCAAAATCAAAACCACCCTAAACTCTAAAGCACTGAGTTCTTAGCAACTGAAGCACTGATTCTTTTAAATTAATAATTTGAACTAGCTATTGAAATATAGTAATGGGTTCACTATTTTTAAGTCCAGGGATTTAATAATGCTACTGATATTAAAACTGAGGTCTCATTACACAGCTAGCTTGTATGATAAACAACCCTGCAGCTCCCAAGTTTGGTCCAGAGGCCATTGAAATCTATGAGCTACTCAACTTTAACAGCTGCTCCAACAGGAAATATGTAGCAGCAGCCTCAGGTAGTCTTACTTATTAAATTTAAAGGAGCTATTTTGGAGAAAATTGCTCCAAGTGTTGTCCACTTCAAACAGATACACAGAGGATTATATGAGAAACCAGAAATAAATTTCTCAAAATGTCAAGAATCTTTTCCATTTTAGTACAAATTTATTTTACTTTTATTTGTTATTACTTTATTTTACTTTCTGACCTAAATATTGACGATAACTTAGAGCAGCTCTTCATCCACAAAAATACAGGGACCCTGCCTTGCTCACCTGCTTTGAATTAAATATATTTCTACATATGAACTGTAGCACCCTGCACTTGTAGTGTTTATTGTTCACTTGTGCAAAAGGTATTGCAATGAGTGCAACACTAAGGCATAAAAGTTTTCCTGCTCTTCCCAGGGTACAGCAGAGATGGAGGGCACTGCTGTGCAGGCTGCACAGACTGTGCAAAACTCCCCAGTGTGGCACAGAGCTTCTCCCTCACCCACCAGGGCCGGGAGGGAGCTGCAGCCTACAGATAATCCAGCTAAGTCAGTGACATCTTTGCAATGGACAGGGCTCTGACTTAGCTTCTTAGAGAAGAGCTTCTAGCCCAAAACTACCAAGATTCACTGGCCAAAAATCTCCCATCAGAACAACCAAGAAAGAAATGAAATGTGCAGAAGTCCTTGCTACAATTTGCGGGTTCTTCTCCTGACTCTTCGAAAAATTTGATCCTAAAAAGCATCTTCCACCTAGCCAACAAAAGACAGTCAAATCTGTCTCTTGACAGTTCATAGCACCTTTATTTGTCCCTGAGAGCTCTGATATCCCTAGAGATCAGCATCATTTTTGCCATTTACTGCAAGAATGTCTTCATACAACTTTTCTTACTAAACAAAATCTGTTCAAATCTTGCATAATGATCTGGTTTCATCCCTGTAAAAACAGAAACACATTTGGCAAAATGGACAGGCTTATAGTGAAATTTTAAGCTTTTGACAAATAAATCTTTGTCCGACTCACACTGTGACCGGATTTGGACAGTGGATGTTCTTCTAACGTCCAACACTTCATGAAGCACCCAGCACAACTACAAATAAAAATGCATCCCTTTCCAAGGCTCAGAACAAAGTGCTAAAAACTGAATTGTCTTTTATAAGTTAACTGAAAATCTAAACAATGGTTTTAAAAATCATTTTGTTACAGGGGATCGTGAAGTATAATTTCATTTGGTATCTTCAGAAGAGAAACTGCTTGTTTTCAATGCTCACTCAGAGCCATATGCTTACATACAAACACAATCCTGCAATCGTCAGCAGAAAAGTTCACATGAAGTCAAGTCTATTAAGGTCAAGTCTATTAAGGCAAAAACAGACTGCTGATGGACAAAACTGAAAGCTGAAGGGGAGGAGGTAGCAATGTTATGCTTAAAAATAAAAATCAAGACTGTCACTTTCAGATTGGAGAGCAACTGCCTCTAAAAGTGAACACAAATTCTTTCAGCAAAACAGAAACAGAAAAATAAGCCAAAAGACACATTTCTCACCCACTTCAGATAATCCTATAAGTTTTGCATTAAATTGTTTCTTATAACTGTTCCTTCTAATGCCTAGCAGCTGATATTCTGTTCCAGTAACTGCTGAACAGCTAAAAGCTGTTGTTTGAAGTTCTAGTTGTCCATCATGTCATTAGAACTGTATTTATGAGGTTATGAAGATCACAGTCCAAAATTTAGACACAGAAAAGGTACAAGCTACATTTTAAAGCCTGCCCTTCCATTCAAAAAGATTTCTGCAGATAGCAGTAAACTGTGGCAAAAATGAAACATGTTTTTGAAACACAGCATGATACAAATAGCTAAGAATGTTTGTTTCCTTCAATATGTCTTTCAACACAGAAATGTCAGCTTGGTTTGTTTGCAAGATTTATATGTAAAGAATCAGTCTTCAATAACTGGTTTCCTCTGGACTTCCAGTTTTGCATTTGGCAATTAATAATTCCTAGGAAATTTATGTAAGAACAACATTTCTTTTCCCTAGTCTGAAATATTCGATCTAACTTATACTGAGAGTACAAAAATTCAGACCGCCTCCAAGCAGACCTAAAAGCATCAGATCAATACAGTGTGCCTTAAAGTAAAAGATTTTGTACAGAATTACATATTAGCACAATGTCATTTGGACTGTGTGTTTTGTGGAAGTAGCTTATTATAGAGAAAATTAAGGCAACTTATCTATCATTCTTAATTAATGTTTTGGGACACAATTATTATTTTGAAAGGGTTTTAATAGTTTCCAAACCCTTGTGAGAGCTCAGAAAAATAATATCATTTCAGCACTGATAAAAAATACTTTTAGTTTCATTTCATTTCATTTCACTAAGCAGGTATCAAGGGAAATGGACACTTAAGCGTTCCAGCAGACTGATCTACTATAGGGTTTTTTTGAAATTAAACCAGATATCTAAAAGCTATAGCTCATTTTTTAATAGGTTTTCAACTCAGCATCTCAAAAGGCAGCTAAAACCACACTGTCCCCATCTGAAAACCACAGACAGAGGATTATTTAGAGATACTGCCATTAGATCAGCCCCCATGGGACAAAATAGAAACTACCAAAGGCATGACTCATCTTCAGGTCCATGCCACAGCCATTGACTCAGCCACCTACACAGCTACTAAAATACCCACATCTCCAGTGTTACCTCCAACAGCTCTTACATTCTACAAGTGTTCTCAAATACTCTTCTTTGCAATGCTGTGCAGCACTGGCAAAAGCTGTTCTAGTGCTGACAAAATAATCTGGAGGATTCTACAGAAACTTTCAGTGCTTTAACGGCTTTCTTGGCTGGGAACACTAACATTTTGAATAGTCATCTTTGCACTGTGTAAACCAGCAATCACAGCTGCCACGCCTCCTCCATTCTGCTTCATACAACCATTTCTGCTTCACCACTGTGCACCTTCTTACTGCCATTTTGGTTCTCTCATTTCATCAGCTTAAAAGGCTCTTCCTAAAATATCAGGTTAGTAATGGTATATTACCATATGCAACAATGCATGATTATATTACCTATGTTTAACTACATAAATAACAGAGAAAAAAAAAGTGCTTAAAACATTTGCATCCACTTTGATTTCAGCCAGTAAAATCAAACTGTCCTCTAAACATATGAATAATACTGAATACGTACTTTCTCTCATCCATTTGTTTCCAATAACCTCGTAGATACTTAAAATATTTTTCCTCTGCTTATTTCAGGTAGAAATGCCTCCACTAAAATGGAAGTTACCAACAGATGGCATTATCTTTCTACTTGTCAATTCTATTACATGGCACTACAGCTAATTACCAATAGCTTCCCCTAGGACTTTCTGCATGATTTTTGAAAAGTTTGTTCAAACATTGTCAGTCTTCTTCTCTGAAAATATTGTTCTGCTTCAAAAGTTTTGTGTTGTGGTGTTTTGGTTTTTTTTAATTTAAAAATTATGAATATAAAAATAACTGTCATTAGAGGAATAGCTTGAAATATCTACGCTGCTAATTTTTCTAAATAAACCAGAGGAAACCAAAAGTTCATTTTTAAAAATATAGATGTATTGTTCTAAATATAAAATTGAAAGCAGAATGAAACTGCATAAGACCTTGACATTCCCAAGGAGCAGGTTTCTCACCCCATGTGCTCCTACAGATTTTAGCTTTCACACAGTCAAAAATTATGTTTCAAAACATAATGTTAGTAAAATTGTGCTGTGTACTTCCATTCCGTGATATTTTGCCCAGAGTAACACCATTCCAAAGAACATGTATAAGTACTACAGACCAGTACAAGTGAAATTCTTCCTTAATATGATTGCAGCTGAACATACGAAGAATTTAGTCCAGCGAAGATCCTACTTTGTAGGGACTGTTACACTTTTAACAGGCACACAGCAGCCCTAAAAGGTAACTGTGTGATTCATCATACAAAGAAAACACCAGGTCTATCTGGACAACTGTGATTTCCTTTCTGTAAACTCTTGCAGTGTCCCTTAGGAAGTGGCAAGGATTAGATAAGTCTAGAACTTTTGAGAAACTGAATGAGAACTCCATAGACAAAAGTGTACTGCGAAAGAGTCTGCACCATCATCATTCTCTGCTGCCTCAACATGTCCAGCACTCGTGGGATGTCCAGCATCTGAAAGAAGAGAACAAATCATTACAAGTGACTGGTGAGCAAGGAAACTGGGTTGCACTTTCTCTGCTGGAGGTTCAGAGCAGTACCTTGGTGATCTAAGGGCAGCTGTTATAATTTCATCCCTCCCAATTCACTGCCCATGTCTGCAGTATGGACTGTACTACACCACTGATCCTGTGTGAAATATGCAGAATGGTAAAGATACCTATCTCATGGGGTATTGGTCTTCACAAATATAATGGCTGCAAAAGTCTGTCACAGTGTTAGGACAGCAATGTACAACGAAACAATAAGCTTGTTGAGTCTCAGCTGGCATATTATTAATAAACGCTTTACAGCTGTTCACTTCTGGTTAAAAGCTGATAGGACTAGGTTTTATTCTATTAAACTAGCACTTTGTCCTTTGCTGAGACTGATACTACAAGTACACTACACTTACAAACAAAATAATTAATAACAAGCATAGAGATTGCCTACAAAGCATGTTCTTGAATATTATCCATTCTAATTAAGGCAAGAAGTGTTAAAGTCAGGATGAAATCCTGAAATATGCTCAGTAGGCTAGGGCACACCTTGTTCCATCAGTGACTCAACATCTTACAGAGTCAGGAATCCAAATGAGCATTCCAGCACCTGGTGTGTATGTGGGCAACTCTAGAAGATCATTAACTTCTGTTGAATTTCCAAGAGCTCTTTCAAGCGTAGTTGTAAGGGCTCTTCCAAAGACTGCTCAGATGAACAGCCATAAAATATTTTAGGCAGGTTATTTTGTGTTCTACTACCTAACATTACTGACAACACGAGAAAGAAAAAGAGATCACCTCATTGTGTTCCAAGCAAGCAATCATGATCTCTGATAGTATGACCACTCCTGTTCGCCCCACACCTGCACTGCAGTGCACCAGGACAGGGGGATTGGAGCTTTTAGGATCCGCAGTGCTGTTCGTATGGCGCCGCACGGACTGTATCTCTTCCAAGTATGCTATTAAGTTCAACAAGAAAAGATAATTCATTCAGGACATGAAGCCCCAAAAGCCATGCTATTATGCTGTATGACCACCAGAAAAGTAGTAATTTTACAAGTGACATCCCACAGAAAAATAGATTATATAAATCACAAGTCATACCCCAATGAAAGCAATGTAGATCTACAAAGATCATCTAACTTTTATAAGGATTTCCATGTCTTGTTACCCTATTCCCCCCTAAAGGTGGCTCATGGCCATCTTGCTACCGCCGCAACATACTCAAATATGCAGTATGTGATGCAACTATGTTTTAATCTATATGAACTTTTAGTAAATTATTGGCTTCAGACTTAAACAGTCCCTTATTAAACTGTCAGGTATTTTCCTGCTAAAAGTATAATTCAGTATCTCTTGCTCGTGTGAAGAAACCTTTCACAGCAGAATACTTGGCATACTTATCAAAAGCTAATTGCTATATAGCAGCCATTTTAGAAGGTATTAAAAGAAAACAACACAAACCACACCCCAAAACAAAGCTATTAAATATAACTTACATAAAAATCCCTTTAAATCTTCTGGACAGCCATGCTCTGGCCAGTCAGTGTACTGCAAATGCCAAACCGTCCTCTCCTGTCCTGTGAGAAGATGTTTAATCTTCAAACCTGTAGTTGCATAGCAGCCTGAGTCTGTACGGAATCGCGTGGTAATCTTAAATCTTCCATAGGTTACGGTGTTGTGTCGTGAACCAAGACGTGGCCAGTATCTGAAGCTTTTTTCTCGCCCACTTTCCTTAAAAGTAAAACACTTGCTTAACAAAAACAACCATTCATACAACTAATTCTATTGTAGTAACAACTGTATCTCTCCTCTATTAAATACTACCAGAATGTTATGGTTTCTTACTGAGTAAAACAACTTTCCAGCAGAAAGAGTTTGCGAATTCATCTTTCTACCAAAGAAAGCAAGAGAGAATAGCAAAGGAGTCACTAGAAATTTGTCTTTGATTGTTCTTGTTAGAGCAAAGATCCCTTCCCTCTAACAGATTATAAAAAACTCTTTGTGGAATATTTGGGAGAAACCCAACTCAATTTATACTCACTTCCTCTGCCGTCACCATAGCTATGATGGCAATTCCTTGTTCCCAGATCATCTGCCAGAAATCCTGACATGTATTCTGCAAAGGGCCCTGTGTAGCAATGTAATCCCACTCTATGCCCCCAACAGAGATCTGTAAAAAAGAAAGACATTGTATTAGTAATTATGCAAAACCCTTTCCCCAATTCTGAAGATGCACAAAATTAAAAAAGACAGCAACACTGCAGAAGTAGGAGCCCATTTTGAGTTATATCTGTCCCAATTTTCAGCTGTGTCTTGTCACGTTAGATGCAGAAGAGACAGAATTGTATAGGCACATGACTAAGTAAATGTACTTTACATCATAAGCATAATGTAAAACTGAGAAAATAAAACTGTATTTTTCTTTTGAAGGTACTGTAGCAAATTCAGGTTCAGAGAAGCTTGCATATCTTGGTGCTGTAAATGCTATTATAAGTAATAAAAATTCAGAAATTTCTGTTTCCCCCAAAAATATTATTTTGCTTGAGAAGGGTCAGAAGATTCACACAACATTTGTGAATGAAGCAGAGAAACAATGGTACTGTGTCAGTGTACAAACAGATTGATTAAAAAAAGAGAGCAACACAGGTACAACTGCTGCTTTGAGGATCTCAGCTCTTTTCAGAGAAAGCATGGAGCCAAGAATAGTTGCACTTTAAGCAGGTAAATGTATTGAAAAATGAATGAGCTGCCTTGAAGGTTCTTGAAGTCACCCTGCAAATTCTTCAGTTTTTTTAACAGAGTTTAAAGAATTAAGGATGGCAAAGGGGGACAACTGAAGATTTTGAAAAAGCAGATTTCCCCCTGGCTCCATCAATTCCTCTAATCTACCAAAAAAGCTTAAGCTGGGAGCTCACTTACTCCCTGTTGTACATACAGTCTGAGAGTACAGAAAAAGAAGAAAAACTGATTATCACTGCAGAGCAAAGATACCATAACCATTCCAGAGGATCCAAGTTTGTTTTAAAGCTATTTGCCTTTTTAACTCTGAGACACATGCCTTCTGTTAGCACTAATCTCCAGAGAGATGATATAGAGAGAGAAAGGAGACAGTAGATCAATAGAGGAGTGAAATGCAGAAGATCCCTCCAATAATTAACCCTCCTAAGTAATGATGAAAACAGGATCCTCCTTTCTCCAAAGAAACCTCTGGAGAACAAGGGGAAGAGAGAGAGATGGAGAGATTCTCACTCATCTTAGCAACCTAAAATTGACAGCCAAATGCATTTTTAGATACCTCATGAACCGCAAAATATTTTCCCAACAGTATTCCTCTCACCTTGATATGAGATGCATTGATGTAACCCGTGTTATTCTCTTTGGTTGGGACTAGCTCTACTCTGGTATCATCATAAGGCAGGACGTCCTGGAACCGGTTTCTTTCAGCATTTTCAGGAAGCCGAGCTATTGAGCACTCACCATCGATAAGCCTTTTTTTCTGGATGCGCTCGTATTCAGTGAACACCATGCCCTGCTCTAACCGCTGTTCCAGAATTTTACACTGAAAGACAGAAGACAGATAATGATACAAACTCACTCTAAGGTGAGTCAGTTTTAACAGAGTATTCATGAAGGATAAAATGTATGTAATTTTGTCTCCTACATACTTCTTCAATGCTTTCCCAGCTGTTAATGTTTTCACAAATATACCAGAATGAATTAGAAGCAGCCCTAACCAGCAGGAATTTTGTTCAAGTGAAAACTAAGAAGCCTGTTATACTTCATTAGGTCACAAAGACCTACGTGAATACTGCTGGTGAAGGAAAAATTACTTCATAGTTTCTATAGTACTGCATACTGCCTCAAATACCTTTGAACAAGGAATACTTATTAACCCACCTGCTCAATTTAGCATGTTAAATGCCATTATTTGAAATGTCTCCTTTAACCTTGTAATAAAACAAACAAAACCCAAAAGTAATAAACAAACAATCCAAACTTTATTGTTTGGATGGAGAAAAAATAAACTTTTCATAAAGCAGCTGCACCTTCTTAGAATCTCTTGCTCCAGCTGAGATTTTTTTCTAATAGTATAACTCAATCTGTTCTATTTAATAAGCTGCTCTCCCTCTCGCCCTCCCTTTATTCTTTTGAAACCAAGTTCTTTCTAAATCATAAGACACTTCTGGAATTTCAGCATCTCTTTGCCAACAATAATTAGAGGAATAATATGTAAGATTTCAGCCAGAAAATTTCATCTATGTCACATGCCCCCAGATTCTCACAGCAACTGCTCTGTGGTATCAGGTCATAAAAGTATCTTGTATCAAGCAAGTACGCCAAATGTTGCAGAGGAAGGTGTAAAACCTCAATCATATGCAATTTGCACACCAATATATCAACTGTACAAACTCCTTTATTACCTTTAGGCTAAATTCCCTTATTTAAACTGATAATAACATGAAGCTGACCAATGAAACAGGCACTGAATCAACACTAAATTCATCTTCTAAAATATCTGCACTCTGGACTTCCTTTCACGTCATGTGTCTACTTTGCATTGCCCCTTCTCAACTGTTTTAGACACTACTCCCATTTCATGGTATCTATTCTGCCCCTACATGACTGCCTCAAAAGAAAGTGCAGTGACATGTCTCTTTCATAACATCACTTCATGGCTTCTTCTTTACCTCAACCCTTTTGGGCAGTGCTAGCTGAATAATGAATATGGCTGAATTTAGTGAAGATCAACCCAGAAAGAAATGATGGCAACTTTCCTGCACTTGTTTAATGATCTATGAGAAAGGGTGAAGCGTATTTACTGAGGTTTTTTATCCTGACACAAGTAGATGGAGTCTTGTATTTCTCAAAGATCCTCAAATTCTAGAACCTGATGTCGTCTCATTGATCTGAGATCTTTTACTGTGTTTAAAATTTCTGCAGATAGAACAAGTTCCATCTATCTTTTACGGGAGCCACCTGAGGAAAACATAAATACAATCTGTGCAAACTGTACTCTGGGGATGCAATTTAGCTGCATAACTTACTCTAAACTCTCTATGAATTACTAATAATTACAACTAAATTCAATCTCACACTCAGAATTACAAGTTTCAGTCTGGAAACCCAAAATTAAGAAACAAAACAGAAAGAATTTCATTAAAATGTATCAGTAAGTACTAATAATTTCTTCCTATATATTCAAAAGGTAAACTATAATTGAATCAGTGTCTTAAAAATCTAAGCTACACCCCATACTTCTAGCAATAATTTGTCAATCAGAAATCTCATTCTTCATTGTTTTATTCTCAGCATTTGATTTGAATCTGAAGCATTTTAAAGTCAACAAAAAGCACCATTCATATGCGCTTCATTTTGACAAATTACTACTGTAAATCAAGCACTAAACATACCCTTTCATCATTTGTTGCTCTTGTTGGTTCTTCCTTCCCCTCATCTGGCAGAGGCATTCTAGTCAATGCCAGTCCATTCAGGGCAGCTAGCTTTAAAGGCCCCATTTTTTTTGCATCATTTTTATTCTTTTTCATACCCTGCAAAAGAAAATACAAATTTGTTAATATTCTTAAATACCTGATGAAGTTATAAACAGAAAACAGCTGACTTCAACTAAGCAAAGGATACATCTTTGACCCCTTCTCCAAACAGATCTGACCTTTTTTTTTGATAAGCACTGCAGTGAGAGATTAGGGTGGTGGGACTACATTCCTCCAAGAACACAACACAAGTCTGTCTTCATTCCAGACAGGCTAATGAAACTGCATGAGAATGACAAATATTGTTCCCTACAAAGCTCCCAACTGAGGGTGTGAGGTGACAACTCTGGATAATTAACATTCTTGAATAGAACTGAAATCACTTCCCAACCCCAAAAATACATACAAATTATTCCTTCCTAGACTATTCAGTTTGCAGGCACTTTTCTTCCCCACAAGCAGGCATAAAAATGAGCATATACATTTCAGACATTTGGATATAGTTAAATGCTTTACTACATTTGCAACAAACTGTACATATAAATCATGAACACAGAACTGCAGACAGATTTGAGTCCTAGGCCAGGCCATGAATCTAAATTATTTAAGTAACTATTCATTATTTGAGAAAAATATCCAAGGGGGATTTCTATGAAAGAATAAATTCAAATTATTCTTTTAAAAAGTGTAAGAGAAAATGTCATCCTTCCTGCAATTGCAAAGTTTATGTGTTACCAAAAATACAGTAAAAATAGGAGTGCATATGCTGCTTGAATGATAATCAATGCTTTCAAAAGCTAAATGGTGGTAAAAAATAGAAAGACAAAGCTAAAAGGATGAGACCACATTTAGAATTGAACACAAACACAACAATAAAAGTTCACTGAGAAGCAAAACATGCAAACATTAGTAGGGACCAGCTTTGTAACTAGGATATTCATCTCAGTTATGAATATAAAAAGGTAATATTCTGTAGTACGCAGTGGCACTCTTAAGTGTTACTGCATTAGAAACTATGTTACTGAACACTTCCAATGAAAAAGTTGTAATATCAATTTAATTTCAAAGGTTGACTGGAACATTTACATAACTGTCGAAAGGAAAAGCAGGGTATGGTTTTGGTAGACACGTTACTGTCTGAAAATGTATCTTTTGGAGAAAAAATACTAAGTGACTATCAATATGTGAACACAAGGAGAAAGGTATCACTTTTTTTTTTCCAGTATCCACATAAAAACTCAGGAGGAAGGGATGTAGAAAAACATACATAATTATAAAATTAATCGAAGCTGATGAAGGTTCATTTCATTGTGTTCAGCTCCATGTACAGCATGTCTGACAGACAAAACATTGTGACAGCAGTAACTATTTCAATGCATAGCTTTTGCATATGTTAGTTTTTGCAGCATCAGCTGTAAGTTACCACAGCACTAGAAGTTATATCTAGTAGTTCCACTGCAGTCCAATTTGTGCAGAAAACAATTTGACACTAAATCAGACATGCAAAATTAACACCAATCAATTTAAAAAGCCAAAATAATAATAAAAAATATCTTCCTCTATTAGTACCTGAAATCTGCCACAGACTACATAAAACTGGACAAAAGTTTAAAACAAAATGGGTGGTAAGGAGTACCAGTAAAACTGTACGATCCACAAAGACCTTGACACTTCTGTGATATGGGAATTATAGGAAAGGTGGAACTTGTGGGTTTTTACTATTTATGGCTTCATAAGATTGGAGTAGGAGAAAGAGGCATGGCAAGGAAGAAATACCTTTACTGGGATAAAATGTCTTGAAGAGAAGGCAAAAGGGAAAGGATTTGGAAAGGGAAAGGCATGGAGTAAAGAAGAGAATGCAAGGAATGAATTTATTGTTTAATGTGTCAGGTCCCCACTTAGGTCAGAAGAAGAAAGCAATTTTTTTAAAAAGTAAACATTCAGCTACATCTGACTTTTCTGTGAAAGGAAGATTAGAAAGCTAGTGGTTGAATGGAAAGAATTGGTTCTGTTCCAGATAAGGACAGATAGGACAGAACTGGGATCTAGAGCTGACTTTAAAACAGCTCATTTTAAAGTTCCTGGCCAGGTTAGGTGTATCAGATGGATGGAGGTTGCACAGCTGGATTTTTGTGGGAGGACTACACAAACAGAACTCAGACATGGCAGAGAAGGGGATAAAAGACAGCTAAGCAAAGTTAATCATGGAAACACAGAAAAATAAAGGTCAAGCTTAAGGTAGCTTTCAATTCACATGTTTTAAAAGCATTTCAAGTTGATTAAAAGAACCCCAAACCTCAAAAAAAAAAAACAAAAAAAACCAAAAAAAAACCCCAAACAACTTCTGCTACAGATAACCCAAAACAAGATGAATAGTATCCACTTACACCTAGGGGGGGAAGGCCTTCCACAATATTCTTCTTCCCAGACAAAAGATCGGATACAGGTCTCTTCTTTACTGAATCTTTCCTTACTCTGTATCTCCCTGATGTTGTAAGATCAGATTCTGACATGGATGGAGTAAGCAGTCCTTCCCCTCTTCTCTGGACCTGGCTTTCTACTAGTAAATGAACGGGGCTCATATCTTTCATTCTCTTCTCTGCCTCTGTAATATGCAATTTAGGCTCAAGAATATGCAAAGGGCCAGCAGATGAAGCAACAGAGCTATAAGGGTAGTTCAGTACTGAATCATGAGAATAACCTCCCATAACAGATGAAAGTTGGGTTTGATCTTCGGGAAGAGGAGAAAGACTTGTATTAGCCTTGTTTTCTTCTTCAAATTCTTCTTCTTCCTCACTACTGTGAATCAGCATAGTGGCATCTGAAAGGGTTTTCTTATGATCACAGTTCACACATTCTTCCTGCTCACCTTCTTTTTGCTTCGCTCTCTCCATCAGAATGTTAGGCTGTGACCCTTCTGAGATAACTCTTGGAAGAGCCACATCTGCTGCAGAAGCTGACATGGTCCTCTCTTTAATCCTTATTCCTTCAAAGCTGGGAGCCAAGCCTGCTATTTCAATACTGTTCCTTTTCTGCAGCTGCGCATGGCGTGCCGATGTTAGAGGCTCACTGACTTCCTGAAGAGAATGTGCCACAGGCAGGCTGTCTTCCTGAAATGTCTGGACAGAATGGTGCACTCGCCTTGTGATAAGATCTGGATTGCTGCTGCTGATGTAGATATGCCGGGAAAGGTCTGGAGTACTGTTTGCAGGCCTTGGGTACGGGTACGGGGGAGGTGGTCGATAGACTTGGGTCTTCATTATATTTGGTGCTGGATAATCCTGAGCCTGGAGCTGCACATTTGTCAACTCAGGCACACTGACTGCCCCAACAACTGGGCGCTTTTCAGCAGGATAGGGGTAGGGGGATTGGCTATGAAAGCTGTAGTTCAGGTTAAATGGATAATGGTTAGACTGTGGGGCAGCAAAGTGAGCATGTTCTCGTATTTCAGGCTGACTGTAAACTAAGGCATCAGGTCTGCTGTAAGCATAGGAATTGCTGATGTTAAGATTTCTCATTGAATGACTCTGCCTATCTGTGTGCACCATTCCCCTGTTGAGCTGTCTCATCACAGTCTCATAGTCCGGTGTGGGACGATAAGAAGGTGGTATTAGTGCACTGTGTCTGTGTGAGGGGACATAATCAGTTCTGAGGACATCACTTCCAGTAATGCTTGGGTTAGAGGACATGGGGGATGGCTGCAAGTAATGCTGTGGGTTGTTCAAGGAGTTTGTGCTGTGTGCACTATAGACACTACCATTGCGGATCCGACCACTGTAGTCATGAGGGGCTCTATCCAAGCTAGTCTGAGAGTGATAGTAGTATCCATTCTGATTGCTCACAAAGAGGTTATCTGAAAGTAAAGTTTAAGAACAGTCTTTATGTCCAAGACATCAAACAAAGTTATCTTCTATTAAGACATAGCTAAGCAACATTTGAGAACCTCAGTTATTCTTAGCTCTGTATTGAAATGGGAAGGAAAAAAAACCAAACCCAAACCCCAACTTTTGCTGTTGTTGATACCTAAAGTATGTAGACCAGAATAACCTATTATATTTATTTCAATTATTCAAATTCCTATGGGAAAACACTGTCTGTTTAAGAGTGGCTTTCTTCTGTTTAGGATAGGTTTGCTAAGGTTCAGTCCAAATTCAACAAAGTCCCTGTCAGTGTTACATCACACCACTTGAAAAAAAGAATGTCCACATGGATTTGCACTAATGGGGTAATATCCGTTTAAACAGTAAAGAAAGGAAAAAATACTAAAAACAGCCCCACGACAACCAAACAAAAAAACTCTTGCTCTTCTCTCTTCTACCCCCTTATGACATAAGTAGATATAGTACCACAAGGTCTTAAAAAAAAAAATCAAATTAACTTTTCTCCAGAAATTTTGGAGACAGTTTAAACTGCCACCATCTATTGCTTGCAGATTAACATATACCTACTCTGATGGGTAAAGGAAATGATCTAACAGTTTATGCATCTAGCACTAAACTGGAAAGAATTCAGCTACATTCTGAATGTAGCTGAGTACCTGTATTTCATGAAGACTTGCCTAACTCTGTTTAGATAGAAAATGTGCTTATTCCCTTCCCACTGAGTTGTTAAAGTATTATTTATCCAGCAGACTAGTAGGACTGGAAGAACCCTATGAAAACTGAGACAACTTTGCAAAAGATTAGATTCAACCCTGGAGGGTAGCAAGTTTTTTAATTTAAATGTGTAACAATCAAAAACATGCAAGAAATCAGCCATGACTCTTCTGTAAACCACTTACATTAGGAGTCTACATTTCTTGAGAATATTAGTTAGGGGTTGCTTGGGGTTTTTGATTTCTTGGTTTCAATCAAATATATACCAGTTCCATAACCTGCAAACTTCCTCAGCCTTTGAATTCCCCACCACCTTGTAGTCGAGTAAACACTGAGAGAAACTCCTCTCTTCCTGCATCCTAGGTTCAATTATTTTTTTTTTAATTTTTCAATTTTGTGAGTTGTCTGGGGGTTCAGTTACTCTTTGCAGCTATTGACGTCAATATTGACAAGGATCTCAAAATGCCATAACATGGATACAAGAAACAAAAAAAGTGATGGTCAGCTTCAACTCACACAAGACACCAGTCATCTTGAGAGATGAGTAAAGCTATGTTAACTAGCTTTACTCATCTCTCATAGGAGAGGATGTGAAGGAGGAGCACTGGAAGGAACTGGGATTGTTTAGCCTGAAGAAAAAGAGGCTCAGGGACCTAATCACTCTCTACACCTATGTGAAAGAAGGTTGCAGTGAGGTGTGTGTCTGTGTCTTCTCACAGGTAACAAGGAACAGGACAAGAGGAAATGGCCTCAAGTTGCACGAGGGGAGGTTTAGATTGGATGTTAGGAGATTTCTTCAGAGAAAGGGTGGTCAGGCATTGGAATAGGCTGCCCAAGGAAGTGGTGGAGCCACCGGCCCCGGTGGTATTTAACAGACATGTAGATGTGGCACTTAGGTTTAGGGTGGACTTCACAGTGCTGCAATGATGGTTGGACTTGATGATCTTAAAGGTCTTTTCCAACCTAAAGGATTCTATGATTGATTCTATGATTGTATTTCACATCAGCCTGTATGTCTAGAGCAGCAGCAAGCACTTCAGTGAGTGTTCTAGTACAAACCTACCCCATGTTCACCTTATTAATTTATTCAGCTCTAAATAAAGTAGCTACAAATACAAACTGTAGTTTTTGCCTTCCAAAGTTGTGTAGTGTGGTGGTGGATTTAATGAACTTACCTTGGGAAGATGCATATGGTTCAGTATAATGACCATTGTAATGCAGCTGAGGTGGTGGAGGCATCATATAAGGCTGAGGCTTAGGCTAAGAAAGAAAACATCCTACTATTACTTAAGAACTGATTTTTTTTTAAAAAGTAATTTTTGAAAAAAATTTATGCATAATGTATACTATTATATATGTATAATATTATATATATTATATATATAAATCTGCAATGGAAATTTCTCCTGTGAGGTCACACAAAAAGTAAGTAAAGAACTGGGGAAAAAACTCCAAACACACACCACCAAACCAAGACTGTATCTTGCCATCTGACATCTAGGACACTCTCCTAGAGACAGAGTGATCAAACTAAAAATAGAAATGTTTAAAATATTTTTTCATTGCAATTACTTTAATCTCATTATTTATATATTACATAGCAGCTTTTTCTACAAGTCAGAAACAGTTCCTCACATACTAGACTCATCTTTTTCACTGCTCATTTTATTTCATTGAAGGACACTAATATTTGATTCAAAGTCCCTTAAAATCCATAAAACTGCAAACTTAAATCTATTTGCACTCCTTACCATAGACATTCTGGACGAAGACCGTCTCCTAACAGGATTCACTGTAACGGGCTGAGTTTGTCTGCAGAAGAAATTTTATGGTAAGAAATGATTCTTAACAATAGGAAGACCTATGTCAAACACTGGAAAGCACTCCCAAGTTCAATTAAAATCACTCTACATTTCTTGGAGCCAGGCCTATGTTAAATAGTCCTCCCCAAAAGTTTCAAAAGGAAAAAGCTCTGTGCATAAACCACCATCACAAAGCAAAAATCACAAAGCCAGGATCAAAATACCTCAGTTATTTGTTTGCCTCTTCTCTATGAAGCATAAAAAGGAGATGTCCCTGAAGCACTGCAGTAGGGCAGAAAAAGCAGTGGAGTAACTGGGGACAAGTTCCAAAGTTGAACCCCATATAAAATCTCATACTGTGAGTTACCTATTCTACAAGTCAGACGTAAAACTGCTAAGGGACTGTAACGTTACAGGAACTGGAAAGCAGGACTATACTGCATGAGGATTCGTATGTTCTAACATTCAAGCTAACAGTAATGAATTTTCATAATTTGTTGGATTGCACACAGGATGTGAGTCTTAAGGTCGTTTCCCCCTACCCTACACTGCACCTGTTCTCTGTGTCTTGCAGCAAGATGGAGGCCAAAAGACAGCAGCATAATATTAATGTTATTTTTATTTTTTTAATGTTATTTTTCAGGAAGAAAGATGTTGTTTAGCTCACCCTTTAGGAAGTGAAGGACGAGAAAGGATTGGAAAGCGTGGAAGGGAAAGAATGAGGGAAGATTTCTGAGAGCCCTCCTCAGGTGGAGAGTCCAGGGAGTCTCTAAAGATAAAGTATGTACAGATTAAGAAAAAAAAACCTTGAAGTTAATACAGGCATGCATAAGACAGTTTTCAGCAGCAGGACCAGACAACAGGAAATTTTAAGAGTAGAGATAATCAGAAAAGTTTCTTTGAGGACTTAACTTCATGCAAAACCATGCTGAGGTGAAACCATAGTAATTAAGTAATCCTAGAGCCTGGCATTCAATATGGAACTACAGAACTGACATTATTCAGAGAGCAATGCACAATTCACACAAATGCACTACTTCTACCAATACTTCTGATCACTCTCAAAAGGCAGTCAGGTTTACAAACTTTGAGGTATGAGGTTTACTCTGTTTCAAAGTAATCTTACTTCTCAAATAAATTAGCATTAAACACACTGTTGAGTCACCTGTGGCAAAAATATTTCATTATCTTTCCACTGGCCTCAGCAGATCTCAGAGCCACCCCTCCACAGCTATCTTCCCACATACAAAGGAATATGGGAATCGTGCTTCCTTTATGACAGAATATTCACTCTAATTCCCTAATTTTTGACTGAAGAAACTTAACTGAAGGAAAGCTGTATCAGTAAAGTAGCTCAGATTCCAGCCGTTAATTTACAAGCTGGAGACCAGCCCAATTAAACTTAATTTGACGAATTGATTAAATTTACCTTCCACTGGTGCTACTTGAGCTATGCAGATTCCATGGATATCTAAAGAACCACATACCCCTCAGCTGTCAAACCAGCACATTTCAGGAGTGCTTCACATACACTTCCCGCCCTTTGAAAGCCTCTAGTGTCCTTTCAGAGCAGTCCACCCAAACCCAGGCCAAAACTCGAGTGATTCCAGTGGCTCACAAGCACTGGCAATATTGGATCCCAAAGCAACTGAAGTCTGTCACAGCCCTGAGATCCAGAAGCAAAGACCAAATGCTCACAGTTGGAAAGTATTTAATATTTTCCTCTGTCATAAAGCAGAAAGTGTTTCAAAAACTGGTGATAAGTGTTTTCTCAAAGAAAGATTAAGAAAATTAACCCAAGTCATTAATTACTACCATCTAAAAAGGACAGTAAAGATATTACAGAAGTAGAAGAAGATTTTACTTCCCAGTGGAAGCTTCAAGGCAACAAGAGTTGTGCTAATGTATTCTACTTACAGGCTGCATTTATTTAGTCTATAAAATTTATGTCTAGCCACACACATCCTCCACACATATTTTGCTGTTTCCATATCTTCCTGCCAAAAAAAAAGAAAAAAAAAGGCAAAATTTGCATTAAGTCATATATGCATTAAGCCATATATGCATACCCTTTACTTGCTTTCAAATAAGCCACTGAAATTTTTAAGATTAAACTAGCATTGACCTATTTTGTTTTAATGTAACTTCATTAGTGTCACCAGGTTTTCCCTAAAACTCTACTTTGCAGGCGCAAACCTCCACTCCAACCTAACACTGCTATTAGATTTATGAAATTTTAGAGGAGAAGCCTTTTGTTGAAGACACTCTTATCAGCTGTAATACTAACACAATTAATAAAGATTAAAAAGTTAATAAGAAAGATTAAAAAGTTAATAAAGACTGTCAACAGCTGCCTTTTGACAAATCAAAGGGCAGATGCCACATAACATTAATTCTGGAAGAAATCCCATAGCCCATTCCAGCAAAGCTCTAAGACCATATTTACCTTTAATTGCCACTGATTTAAAAGTCAAAAAAACATGCTACAAATTTTACTGGAATGAATGACAATGTTTATGAACACCTGACCAAACGTGTCAATGTATTCAACATAAAACATCTGATTTTAATGCCTTCCTGTAAAAAGCTTGCCAAAGACTGTATTATTACTTTTGGCTCACTCGTACAATTCAAAGCTGCTAAATATACATAAAGTAGGTTTTAATCTTTGAGTTAAATTATCAGTCTTAATTGTGTTTATATTTACTGATGTCTTAGCACAAAAAAAAATGTACTCACAGTTTGGAATTGAATTGTCTCTTCTTTGTTGGTCAGCTCTAATGCGAAAAAGGATTTATTGTGGGACATGTTGGCAATATCATGCCACCTGCAGACAAAAGGGATAAAATGTTACTGGCAAACTCTGATTTTCAAACCACAGAAAATGCAACTGAAGAACAAAACCATCACCAAGAATATGGACAAAGAGCTGAGGACATACTCATAAGGAGAAGCAGAGGGGCAAGTACTGGTCTTTTCACTCTGGTGACCAGTGGCAGGACTAAAGAACACAGCATGAAGCTAAGCCAGGAGTGGTTGAGGTTGGATATCAGGAAAACACTTTTCACCCAGAGGCTGGTTGAGCACTGGAACAGGCTCCCTAGGGAAGTGGTTACAGCACCAAGAGTGATGGAATTTAAGAAGTGCTTGGACAGGGTTTTCAGGCACTCGGTGTGATTCTTGGGGATGGTCCTGTGCAGGGCTAAGAGCTGGATTCAATGATCCTGATGTGCCCATTCCAATTCAGAATATTCTATGATTCTGTGAAAAGGTTCATTAATCTATCTGAACAAGTTGCAGGCCATCACTTCCATACCCATTAAATGGCTGCTGAAAGGAAAATGCGCATGTGACTAACTTGGGAAAATGCTCAATATGTACAGTATTAAGTTTATTACTTGTCTTCCACTTGAGATTCTTTCAAGTGTTCTTTTAAAAAAAAAAAATCAAATTTAGATAAATTTAGTTATCGGTAAATTGTAATAGCCCAACTCCTTGAAAGCAAATCATACAATCCAGGAAAAAAAGAAATTAAATCTACACTGAACAAAGGCATTATTATACATATTTTCTAGAACTGTTGCACACTGACAGATGAGAAAAAGATGGATTACATAAAATATAATATCGTATATTTATTCATCTTCTTGTTAAATATAAATGGAGCTTGACCCATTAGTATTATGTTAGTATAAATAAAGTTTACATAATTGATTCATTAGAAGAAGATTCTGCAGTGCACAAACACATGGAAGAAGAATGAAAGATATAGGACTCTTTCTAAAGGTATTTATAAGACTCACATTTTCATTACATAGATAAGTCTGACACCATTTTCTATAGCTACTCCCAATCATATGCATGAGGTAAAGAAAACTAATGTCCCCATTTTGATGTAGAATAAAAATCCCTCAAATTTAAGGCCTTAGTTCATAGGCATTTGTGGACACAATTATGAAATTACCTGAACAATCTGAACCACAACCCAGCCTGTGTAAATTATACTATTGGTCATTTGTCTATGCATGATACATCTATCCATGGTGGAATTACCAATAGTCATACAACAAACAAGCAAAGAGCAGGAAACTGGATGCTGAAACTGAAACATGAATATTTTTCTGATGCATCCCAATGTGCTTTTTTTTTTTTTTCTACGTTTACAGACACTGCATCCACAACCCTTTAGGAAATTATGCAAAGTGCATGGACAATGCTTTATTCCTCTCCCCTGTGCTTGAAAAGTATAGCTGTTGTCTAACACTGCAAGAAAGTAGAGTAGAGCACTTGGACAACTCCAGACAATTAAAAAGAGCTTGGCATCAGCTCTCCTATCAACAGCAGACAGAAATTTTGTGAAGGACATTTAACAGTACTGAATTTATAAATTCTGTTAAACAAAACTACTAAGAGAAATAAGCACAGTTGCTACTTTCTCTAACCCCAAAAATGAACTGGTAGTGAAGTTCCAGTAATTGTTGGACCACGGGATTTCAAGATTTCTGTTAGATTCAAAGATTCAATTCTAGAAAGCTAAAGTTCACTAAGAATGAAGCCTTTCTTGCTCTAGCAATAACTACAAATTGCTGAGACTCATCTTTTAAAAATCTAAAAATGTATTTTTTAAAATTTATTTCAAATTCTGCCCAAAGATGCCCAAGCAACTCCTCTTGAAGTAAGTGAGGATAAAGCCATTTCACAAGAAGACTGAATTTTAAGTGTTAGGAAAGTCACACTGCTGTCTACAAGTTAACAGACCATTAAATAATAAACTAAAAAATGTATGAATCCAAAATAATGAAACAAATGTTATCATGTAACTCTTCAAACTTTATTTTATTTATAATACATGAAAGGAGCTCCTGAACAATTTTACAACTGGGTATTTCTACATAAATTGATGTGACCATCGCAGGATTTGAGATACTGTGTGCCCAGAATTGCTCCTTTTTGATTTAATAAATGCTTCACAATGGAACTGCATATTAAATGTTCATCTCTTACAATGAATCTGGCTTAAAGACATTCATTCTGCAGTCACTACATTGAAAAATTCCAATGGAATTCAGTGTTCACTGTAGTGTGATAACCACAAGACTATATTCAGGTTTATCAAATTAATAAATACACATCATATCTAAGAGTCATTCATGCTTGTGAGGAACACATATAAAATGTGAAGCACATAAACACATTTTAAGAAAGAACAATACTGACCTAAATACAACAGGAGGACGACCATTTTTGTGTTTCACAAAGATACCATCAAGACATGCTCCAATGAATATGTCACTTCCTTGGCTGTCCTGTAAGAAGTTGCAAAAAGTTATATAAATACAGAAAAAAGTCTTTGAAAGCAGAGTTACAAGAGAAATAACTGCTTTTATAATTCTACCAGGAGGAGAAAATTCTGAGTGGTGTGGGTTTGGGGTTTTATTTATTTATGGTAGGAAGCAACCCTTCTAAAGAGGGGAAAAAAAAGGTAACTGAGACAAAGATCAAAGCCCTGTTTACCTTTGCAGGGTAGGTCTCTTCACCATAGCCCTCCATTCGTTCTACTTCTTGCATATATAACATTTCCGCATCAGGAGGAGTAAGGCCTCTACAAATAAAAACAACAATCAGCTATTACTGCCAATACGAAAAAAAAAAAATCTTAATTTTACTCTGAATGACATCATCAAAGCTTGAAAAGCATTCCCAAGACATCCAGGAAATCATCAAATCATGCTGTTTCTATCTGTTCCAATGGCTTATATTTTTCTCAGCCTTTACACTTTGATTCTAGTAACTTCTTTCTCTCAGGCATCTTTAGGGGTAAATGGCAACAAAGACCAGTTAAAATTATCTTCTAATGGCAGACAATTATCTCATTCATTTTTGAATCCACCACTGTCTTCATGTTTCCTCACTTTTTCAGAATGATTACACTGGCACATGTGTTCAAGACCTTAATTTTCCCTGTAGCAATATTCACAATGAAGTTTGATGTTCCACATTTCAGGAAAGACAGATTAATTTTCTAAATGCTGACAGAGTTTTAACGGTAATGTGTGAGAACATGAGGACAAGATCTGTAGGTAAAAGTAGCGGTTTTTGTACCTACACCAAGTGACAAAGACAGTTTTCTCACAGACTTGCAGTAGTGTCACAGGAATTCAAAGCTTGTGTTTACCTACCACCAACATACCTCAGTTATCTCCTAAAAGTCATAATTTCTACCTGCAAAATCCTGTCATATTCATTGCTATGTCTCTCAGTACTTTTTCAATCGTCAATCTCTCTGTTTCTTCACTTTTTCCTAACATCATGCAGATTAAGTTTTCTTTGCTGAACTTTAACTATGCAATCTTATTACAAATCCATTTCAAAGATAAATTGAATCGAAATTTTCAAACTGTTGTTTTAAAACAATACAGTGACAAATTTTCAGTATTACTCACATAGTCACAAACATTTTCCTCTGATGAACTGACATTTCTTTGTCCTGGACTACTGCACCTTAGCTACCTTTTGCCTAAGATCATAAGCCATCTGGCACAGTTAACTGTCTCTACATTTCTACTGCCCTCATTATCTGTCAAAGATGTTTATCAAGAAATATCCTTATGGAGTCACAACTTCATATTAGAAAGTTTCAGAAACATAAAGGTGAAACCACACTATTTAATATTGTCCTGCATCCTTAATTTTCAAGCCAAATCCTCTTACGTATTTTACTAGGTGCTCTGTTGTCTTTTCACTTTCATTCAGTAGAATATCTGGTAACTTTGATGCAGAAGTATTAGAGAAAAACTCATTTAAATAAGAGGTGAAATTAATCCCACTGTCTTCTGAGATTCACAACTTTCTGAGCTACTGAAGATCATAATTAAGCAATAAAGAGTTTTAGGCATGTTACCTGTACTTCTGATGCAGCAAGGCAACTTTCTGTGTTGCTTCTTCCAATATTTTCTCTTCTTGTAGCCAACCCTTAAGGTAAGACAGCATTTATGCAATGAGATACAAAAAAAGTTCTACAAAATTAAATGGTTATAGTTTCCTTACAGAGGTGAATCAACTCACCACTCTAATATTGAAGCTCAGATGCTGTTATATGCACACAAATAAACCCAAAAAGCATAAACACTGTTCTGAAGTGGTTTTACTCACTTTCCCATCTACACCCAACCTTCTTCTCAGTGTAATATACAAAAAAATTGAAAAGGTCCTGCAACATCTTTACTTCTGTGTAATATAAGGTGTGGTATCTCACCCCAACCTCAAAGAAAACCTTCACTGAATCTGATAACCCAGTGAGCAGTAAGCTGGATGGATCATGGAGTCTTATTAATAATGATTTGTTTTTACCAATTTTAAGAAAGCTTTAAATTTAAATTTTTCAATTCAAGAATAGAAATGTGTCAATTTAAACTAAGTACTTACCACTGGAAACAAAGCAAATCTTTGTAAAAACTCCTGAGATTCATACTGATCATAGTCTCCAAAATCAGCTAAAAAAAAAAAGAAAAAAATTCTTGGAGTCAAACATTTTAAACAAAATTATTTAACACCCAATTAGTTGCAGCAGGATCTCCAAGTAGCAAATCTCTCCATCCTACTGAACTGTGATCTGGAAGTAAAGCAGTGAAATAAACTAACCAATAGTGTTTAGGAAGAGGAATGGTAAAAACATATCCCATCTTCTTACGTTGTTCATAAAAATTGATAAAACTCCTTGTGGTTAGAGAAGAAGAAATTATAAAACAATCAGAATCCAAGTTCCTTAGTACTTTGAGGTTTCAATAGTTTGATTTTTTAATCACAGAATGGTTAAGGTTAAGAAGGGGCCTCCTGAGATTCAGCCCTAAGCAGGGTCAGCTACAGCAGATTGTCTCAGAGCTTTCCCCAGATAAATTTTTAATATTCCAGCTCTATCTTCTTTACTCCCTCCTGTCAGACACTTGCAGTACAGCACCAATAGACTGCTCTAACTTTCAGCTCTACTCAAATACTGCACAGAGCAGCTGGAGCATCCTTTGGCTCACAAGACTTCTACAGCTCCCTGCACCCAGATATGCAGAAATTGGGAGCTAGAAGCCTTCCCAGACTCAGGGGTATGCTCAGAAAGCACTTAACTAACTGAGTTGGGTCTTTGAGTGATAAATAGAAAACATGCAATAGAGAAAATATATCATCAGAGTTTCTGATGCAACATTAGCTAGTTGGCACAATTCCTTACTTACCCTGAACAGCCAAACCAGCCAAATGTATTGCTTGTTCCAGTGTGCAAGGAATGTTGCCCTCCAAGATATCTTTCTTTAATTGCAGATAATACTGATACCTACATGGAAAAAAAAAAGAAAAAGAAAAAGCTAACAGAGGTTTCTTAATTTAAAGAGAGAGCAGATTAATATGCCTGCATTTCCTATTCCTCTCTGCATTCTAGTTTGAGTGGAGGGTAGTCACCCTCATCATTCAGATCAACTATTTCAAGGCTTTTGTTAACTCCTGCCTCCCTTAACTTTCACATATTCCAGAATCAGTGATCCTTAAGAATCTCCACAATTTCTATCTACTAGCATACTCTCTTTTTTTTATTATTATTTTTACCTCTTCTGTCCTTAATGTTGTTATTACTGTGTCTAAACAACGTTCAGTAAACTGTTGCTGTATTACGGCCTTCTATTCCAGTAGATCTAATATTGTACTCAATCCTGATAGTGACTTTCATTTCTGCATTACAACTTCTGACTGCACTTTGTTCTGACTTTCAAGGCACCATTTTTGTTCTTTTATCTAACTTTTCCCTTTCTTCCCCCCGTTCAGCTCTCCATGGAAGTCCCTACTTTGAGCCCAAAACACCTCAAAACTGCCATTACAGCTACACAGACTTGTCCAAGAGGTACATTTGTCTTCTACAATCCTAGGTTTAAAAACTTCTTGGTTTTATACAATGGCATATTGTATGTCAACTTTTGTGAAGTAAGGCTTTAATACTGAGAACGTGGAAGTATGTGCTATAAATCATTCAGTGGTTAGAAAGCTCAGGTAAACCCCACATAAATTTTATTTATATTAATTGTTGGCTCTCTTCCCTCACTGTTTACTAGCCTGTTAAATACAGTGACAATTCATAAATATTGTTTAGACTCTTCAGGATCTTACTATAAAGAACCAGTACACCATAAAATAGTACATGACATCCTTATACAACACACAGAAGAACAGATGGGACTAAACCCAGGCCTTAAAAACAAAGAAAGGAAAAAGCCACCACATATCAAGGCATTTGGGGAAACAAGTCTCCCCAGTCAAGAAGTGGAATGTAAACCCTTTCCATAGAAACACTATTAAAAGTAAACATACAGATGAAGAATCTTAACGTTACCTCGAGATAGCACAAATACCATCTCTTTTCATCTATGACATTTCCATTTCCTGGTGTACATTAAAGTTGCTTAAACATGCTCAACCTCATCTATATTAAAAAGGCATGAAAAAATTCACAGATTTCTGAAATTAATCCAAACTCTTACTATCACATATCAAAGCAAGTACCATCCTATAGGACTTGAGTATAAGGTTGACACATAGATGTCTGCTTTCTACCTGGCAGCACACTGTAAAATTGTTGTTAAAGCTCCAGCATAAACATCATATTCTTTAAATAAATGCCAGAGAAGATTATTCAAGGTTTTTCAGGCAATTTAGCTATTCAGTGCAACACCATGACATTTATCTTACTTTAATACATCCTCGTACACCAACAAACATAGAATCTGAATCAAAGATTTTCAAGCCAGTAAAATTGCTGAGAAATAGCACAAAACTTTAGAGTTTTCAGGAAAAATAAAATCTTTCAGAAATTACACATCAAACGAACACTAAAGCTGCCAAGCATTGAGCAATAAATAACAGCAGCAGTGTCTGCACCAAGAGGCTTATCTCCCTGAAAAGCTTTCACACCACATTTAGCAGGAAAGGTGTCTGGCAGGGTATTTTAGCAACACAGTATATAAACACAGTTTCATGTAACCACAGAATAACTTAATTGAAAAGGATCTCTGAGTGATCACCTGGTTCAACTCCCTACTCAAAACAAGGCCCATTGGAAGTTATCAGCTTAAATGGGTTAATTAATGCAAGCACATAGTTCTCAAATAACAAATACATGTTTGTAATCCAGTTACTGGTTTTGTACTCATTTGCCTATTAAAAAGAATCATTAAATCATAACAACTATACACATTAAGCCACTAGAAGCCAATGTATAGGCTCATAAGAATAACTGGTCAGTATAAATGCTCAGTTTTACTTTTCCCCCTGTAGTCAGCACCAATTATGAGATGTTCCCCAGTTTCACAGTAGAAATGTGTACATAATATCAGAAATAGCATCCATATTTATGGCTCAGTGATACACAAAAAAAGTCACAAGCTGAAACTTAGCCTGTAGCTTGCCAATGTATTGTACTGAAAGTACAGAAAGTACTGAAAGCAAGACAAAGGAAAGCATAGCTCAATAAAATCTGCACGTGCTTTGTACAGGATGGATGTCCACAAAAGCAACATATGGCTCTTCAAAACAAACAAAAAGGAGACAAACATAAAGAGACTAAAACAATCAAAAGTCTGACCATGTAAGTTTGCCTGTTACTTAAAACAGGTTTGAACAGATTCTTAAGATCACAAAGAAGTTAGTTCTTTGCTTAATTTATCACATATTTTAAGTATTCCAAAGGTAAATAAATACACATTTTGAACATAAATTCTGCCTCAAGTAATTTTCATTTCTATAAAGGTGGGGGAGAGGAAAGCACACACCTTTTAAGTAAACCATACATTGCAGAATGCTGAAAGCAAATTTTTAGACACATGTAAGAAGTTTACCTGGTAATCTCCTGCTGAAGCTGAGAAACAGTAGGCACATAGAACACTACTCCAAAATACACAGTTGGCTCCAAGGCATATTTGTCCAGCTGCTTTTTCAGAGGCTTGTCCAAATCTACCCATCTGCGCTGATTCTGCTTATTATAATACCACAGACTAAAATACGTAATCTGAAAGAGAGGCATTTCAGTGAAGAAAAAAAGTTAATATTTCGATATTAGATAAAATGTATTGTATGAAACTCCTGCTACCTAGAAATAAATGGCTTAAAACACTAAGGTTATGGGTTATTGAAAACTTAGAGAACTGCAGAGACATTTAACATCAAAAGCAGACATTACTCCCAGATAACCAACCCTCATACGTAAAGTACTCCACCTAAAAAAATACCAAGCCTACTTTTTATTTGCAAACAGTTCATAACTCTTTTGTGTCGACTCACAGATGTTAATAGTAAGCATTCATGTGTGACAGGAAAGTTAAGGGAAGTGAGGAAGGCAAACAGAAACTGACACTGGACAGCAGGAGAGCAGAGCATGGCTTCTGTGGGGAAATGGCAGTCAGGCTCACATGGGATGCTGAAGGACAAAAGAGCACAGGACAGCTGGTCAGTCAAAGGCAAGCTCATTAAAGCATATGCATGGCTCATCCCACGAGGGAGAAAATCAGCAGATACACAGAAGGATACACAGAAGCAGCTTGTGTGGGCAACTCCTGCCCAAGCCCAAACACAAAACACAGTTTGCACTGGAACAGACCACCCTAAGAGGCTGAGAGGTGTCACTCCTGGAAAGTCAAAATGCCACTGGATAGCATCCTGAGCAACACAATCTAACTTGGATTAGATCTCTCCAAGAAGGAGTCTGGATCAGAATATTTTTCCATTGCTCCACAACATGGTTCTAAATCCATGCTCCACAGTCATTCATTCAAATTTAAATTTCTCCATTATGTTTAAACTGATTAAAATCTGCTCCCACAGTGTTTATTTCATTCAGTACTGGACCAGCAAACATACATGGACTGGAAACTATTCATGCCATTATCATAGAAAAACCAGATATCATAATTAGAAGTGTTTTAACTGAGGGAGGGAGATATGTGAGTATTACGAATTCCCAATTATGTCTTTAGGCATTTACATGGAAATTCTCCAAGTCCTTGCTACATACATTTTATTATATCTAGAAATGGTAAAAATACCAACACCTTTAATCCAACACTTTTGTACACTAATGTTCCCTTGACATTGCATACTGGCAAAATATACTTCTTTGCTTCTCTCTAAATTAGCATCGACACAGTTCTATGTGACTGTTGGAAGGTTTTGGTGTTTTGGGGTTTTTTCCCCCAGTGTTTAAAAAAAATCCTCTCAGTTAAAACTACTGTTACCATGTAATTGAAAAATTACTATTCATAAGATAAAAATAAATATCTTAGGATGAAATCTGTCCATTTAGCCTTAAGATTCTTTCTATAAACTCTAAAACAACTCTGGTACTCTCTGATAAAAAGGCACACTGTAATACAGAAAATAAATTGAATTACAACTGTTCATACAAGAAAAAAGCAGCTTTTTCAGTATAGAGGAAGATATCTGGAAGAAGTGCAGAATGCTGATATAGACAAAATAGCTTCATGGCTGGAAGGTTTAAAAATCACCACAGAGAACCAGACTACTCCCACATCAGAAACAGAGTTCTCTTGAAAAGCAAGCCCTACAAACCAAATTTTTCACAGGTGGATGCTGTGTGCTCATCAATTATGAATTCTGAAAGCCAAGAGTTAAATTTAGGAAGTCATAAATACTCTGAGTTTCCAGGAATATTCCACTGAATATGGGTCTGAATACAAATTCTATAAACACTATTTTCTAAATTTCTCAGTCCAGGCATACAAAGTTTGCTGATACCTTAGAGAACATTTGCTTTTATTTCTATTCTTCAATCCACTAACCATTAGGCACAGTGTGTGGGGTAACCTCTAGCACCCCACAAAGATACTGTGAAGACAGTATCTCAAGATTCCATAAGATATTAGGAAAAAAACCCCAAGCAGTAGCACCACAGAAACTCTATTATGAAAGAAATATTGTGTTTATTGCAATATCACATGTGGAAAATAATAAAATGTTCCAAATGACTGAGTACTCCTCAATCCTTCCCGCAGACTAAGTAGGGAAAAGAACGCACGTAAAAAGTTGTATTTCTCTTTCATTACAGGACTGCTGGCACCACGCACTCGGTCACAGGAGACAAAGTCAGACTGTGATGCTGACATTCTGTAACTTCTGAGGGTTATCAATGCAATGAATGTAAGTAAACTAGAGAACAAAAAATTAAAACAACAGTTAAAGTTGATATATGCCAGGAGCTACTTGATCTCACTTGCTAAGAACAGCTCAAAGAAAGCCTTCTGTGCTGGCCCAGCCCAATCATCGGACAGGTCAACCACATCAGCCTCAGGCTGAGCGCAATCTAAAATGTGGAACCACAACATTCTGTGCAAGAGCAGCGGCCATGGCAGAGACTGAAAGCGAAGGGTAACAGCTACAGCTGAAAGACTTCTATAAAGGACATCACACAAACACGTTTGGAAACCAACTAAAAATATGCAAAACAAATGTGTAACACTTGTTTGAATAACTCATTTGCAGCCTTGGCATACTTAAAACTGAAGCACAGCTGTATAACAAAGGTGAGGAGAAAAAGAGCACAAACTTCTCTTAACATCACCACTGGTTAAAACTCTCTGATGTAAGATACTCCTGGGTTTACACTCTGAATTTAAACTGAATGTATAGACAATATTTAAGGCATGATGATCACTTATACAGATCTGTTCCTTTGAAACACTGACCGTTTTTTCTTGCCTACACACAGAACAGAGTAGTAACTGGCACAACAGACTAAGACAAATGTTTCGATGTTTTAAAATACTCTCTGGAATCCAGCATATCTTTAACCAAGCCAAGCAAAATACTATGGACCAAAGCTAGTCTTCTGACTTCTATGCAAACCTTTCACTTTACTTCAAGGGCAGAATTTGATCCTGTGAGTTTTCAGAGGAGCTTATGCACCCTGGAATATTCGCACTGATTAAAATAGAATCCACTTTTATTCATTGCTAAAACATTTTATTATTAGCAGCTCAGGACAACGTCCAATACTAAAAAGAATGTCATGACATAATTCTTAAAATATGTTAAGCTGTTAAGATTAACACTGCTTTGAGGTTTGTTTATTTTAGTGACTTATTCATGACCCAACCCCTCTAAAGAAAATCAAATAGAAAGAAAAAGAACATATAATTTCTGCACAGTTATTTTCTTCCTATTTGCTTTCTGACACTAGCAACAGGAATGGTAAATATTTTTGCATAAAAGTTCAGGAACTATCAAGAACACAAAAGTACAAAAAGCCCAACACAGTATTGCATCTCACAAGTTGGTAGGCGTGGAGTGACCTCATGACTGAAGTCCACCAGATTTTCTAAGCTAAGCAGAGGAGTTTCATCAGGTATGAAGGGCCACAAAACTACATTACTGTAGGTGATTCTGTTAAATCTTCTGGCATGATGTACAATGAGAGTCAGAGAAGTGGGGCTGATCAGTCTTAAGAGGAGATTAAAGTAAAATCTTACTCTGGAGTTCAATTGCCTAAGAGTAGGGTATAGAGAAGATAAAGCCAGAGTCTTCTTGTAAGTAATCACTGCAAGTATGAGAAGCACTGGGGACAAGCTGCAACGTGGGAAATTCCAATTAGATCAGGAAAAAAATTTCACAACAAGACTAGCCAAACACTGGAACAGATAGCCCAAAGAGGTGTCAAATCTCTATCCTTGGAGGCACGTAAACTCAGCCAGGCAACTCCTGAACCATCTGATCCAAGCCAGCCCTCCTGAGCAGAGGGTGGGACCATGCAACCCTCAGAGGTCCCCTGAGGCATAACAGTGTTCAGAGTTTACTTTGAACTTATGGATTTAATAAAATATTTCCCAGTTAATTTCATATCCTATATTATAAATTTTACAAAATATGTTGTAGTATACAAGCAGACTGGGAAAGAGAATAGTTTTCTAATGGTTAACACATTGCCTTCTAATTAATGCATTCACCTACCTGCCTCAAGGGTACAGTGACCTGAGGAATCACCATCCTAAGATGTGAGGCAAGAAATTAAAAAAGAGAAAACAATAACAGTGTTTACAGAAGAATGCAATCAAAATATATTTTCCGACTTTTCCTCTTTTACACTGACACACACAAATAAAACATGTCATAAGACTTTCCCGATAAGAGAGCTGAAAACAACTTATTATTGTTGAAGGACAAGCACTGCAGCCGAACTCATAAAATCCCAGTTAACCCAAGGACTCCACCACATCTGGCTTTATTATATGCTTGGATACAAAACAGCTCCTGCTATCAGGGTACTATGGTTTAAACAAACTAACCACATGCAGGAGAACTGGGTCAATAATTCTATACTCTGCACAATCGCCAGATACCAAGGGAAAGCTTTACCCTATGCCCAATTAAGAGCTATGGAAGGAGACAAGAGGCCTTGAAAATTACCCAGAAAATCCATTTTTATCACAGCTGAGAACCTCCTCCATAAAACTTCCCCGTCTCTAGGGGAGAAAGAATTTGGAGCAGCCTGGACTGGCCAGTGTAGAAGATCCAAGACCTTCTGGAAGTGGTAGAGAAAAAAGCCCCGTGAGTCTTGTTATGTACTAGCCACCAAGTGGAAAGCTGCACTTCTCTACACACTATCACGTCCAATTCTTCTTTCAGAAATAGGAGGAGCACTGACAAAAATTCCTCCCTTTTTCTCATCTTGAAGCAATTCACTTAAAGGTTCTTTGCCTATACCGTTTTTGTTGCTCTAGCACTGACAAGCACTTCAACCGTTGCTGTGGGACAAAATATTTAGCAGGGTAGCTCTATGAGTAAAGAGAGAACTCAGTCTTAAATTTTTTTTTTTTCATAATGGAAATCTTTTTTCCAACACCCACCCACACAATTATTTTCTCCTAACTACTCTAATAAGGGTTTCACAAACGCTATTTAAACAAAGTAATTGCCAACTATAGCTTAAAGCAAAACGGCAGGGATAGAAATAAATAAACAAAATCAATACCTTGCAAGGTAATTAACAAATTCTAGCTCATTTGAATGAAAACACTGCATGAATCACAATACACTCTGTTTTACACCCTTCAAAAACTTTGAATAAATAATCTTCTAACAGGCAAGGTACATTCTACTTATCAGTACATTTGGCAAAGGTAAACTGACTAATTTACAAGCTGAAGAGCCATACCTTCATAGTGTACAGAAAACACAATATCCAACACATATTTTAACCTCTTTCAGAAAGAGGTCAGTTATCAAAATAACACAGAGATGTAGATGTACACTTTTTTAAAAAAAAAAATCATGTTATTTTTTTCCCACCACTGCCAAGGCACTGAGAAGGGTGGACTCACAGAATTGCTTTTCACTCACACCTTCCACAGCACTGACATTAGGAGAAGTATCATGTTCCCATTCATCAGAGGCTTAAATTTTGATTGCTTTACAAAAGACAAAAGCTAAATTCCAAAGCAGTCTAAAAATACTAACCAATAAATTAATGCCTTTCCTTCAGAAGTAAAGGAAATGTCTTCTGTCAAAATTAGTATAAAATTGAAACCTGATTCACAGACACAACAGAGAAAAAGTACAATTAATTGGTATATTCAAATTCTGCCCTAACTTTATAAAGAAGCTAAAGAAACCAAGGGCAAGGCTTCCTAACTGCCACTATTGCTTTCATGGAAAATCCTTAATTTCATGCTGCTCAGTATAATAAGACTTTATCTGCAAATCCTTTATCTGAATGTATATCTTTTTACGTTCAGAGAAAGGAAGAACTGAGGTAGTGATTTTGAGTAACTTGGTACTTCAGTTTATCTTGGTTCCCACATTATAAATATAGCACACTTATAATATGTTTTAGATGAAGTCAAGTTTGCTTTTCAATAAAGTAGCATCTTTTAAATTAATCGGATTACACACTGGAGGTCTGCATTTTTATATACATTCCTCCACGACAATTTCTCCTTTCCTAATTTTAAAGAAAATTTGGTTCAGAGAGGCAACCATAGCAGTTCTTCAACTATGAGCACTGCTTCTCCTCTTATTTCTCCAAGCATCAGCTACAAATTTGTCAGACTCTGATAAAAGGCATAAACATAACTATGTCAGTAACCCCTCTGTCATACTTGGCCTAACTTTTATTTGCCAGTCAATATGGTTAATGATACATATAGATGCAAGAATATTTATGGTTGCACTTGGTTTTATTTTAAATAAACTCTTTTCATCTGAAAAACACGTTAAAGAAATCACCACAATGAATTAAAGACTTTTTTGTGCGTGTGTTTTCTCCAAAAAAAGAGCTGGTATTTTAGAATTCAGAATAAAGCTTTACAGCATAGTTCAAGCATTTCTGAAGCACTGTTCCAGAACTTCGAAGCATTATTCAGGATCCGGATAACCTTGGTTCCTTTTCCTATTCATGTCCAAAACAAACACAGGAACTTGCATATGCACAACACATACTCTTCCCAGAAGTCCTCTACCATTGGTTCTTGTACTCTACCACATATCTGCAGTTAAGTCAGACTCTGCCTGTACACGGGAGCAGAATCTGTCCCCTTCTTTCTTGTTTAGAAGTGTTATTAGAAAACGGAAAAAAAAGAAAATCCAACAAGAGAGAGAAACCAGTTACAGCACCTCCTGCCAAACACTCCAGAGATATCTAGCTATATTACAATTTTTTTTAAAAATCTCTGTACTTTCAAGGATTTTATTTGTGTACTCATAGCCTAGATGCAAGATGAGCAGTGTTACACATACTTTAGGAGGTGGTGAACAATCAGAGCTCTCAGCAGTTTTTAAAAACTTGTAATTCCAGAATGGTTTTCTGTGACAGCTTTTTGCATAAATCAAGTTTGGTTAAAGTTCTCTCACAGGATGAAAGGCAGACTGTGCTACAAAGGATAAGTAACTTATGTTTACTGTTCCCTTTGGCTTCTTTCCCCAGTTCCTCAGTTTAAGAGCGTTGGATTACATACCCATTGCTGATGAGTCACATTCTGGGAATACCAGAAGATATTCTTCTTAGTTTAATGCTTTCATTTCACTTTTCTATGAAGTTTACCATTCAGTAAAAACATAAAATTGTCAACATATATAAGACTTCCTAAACTCTGTGTCCTTACTAGTATACAACTTGGAAATTGAGCAGTACTAATTGGAAAACTGAAAGAAAAATAGTGTTTTGCCACACAAAGCATAATTTCAAGATGATTGATTTATACCTGTTAAAACAAATATCTTAAAAAACAGCACACTATTAAAAATAAGCAGTTGAGTTCACTGTCCAAATTCAGTAATTTCAGACTACACCAGAGAGTAAGAGGCATTCACAAATGTTACCACTGAATGTGTAAAAAAAGGTAGAGATTCCCCTTGTGTCTCATGCAATAAACTGGTTTGAAGATGCATGGGAACTGCCTGTCCTAACTGTGTAGGCCATATACAGTAATCCGAGACCGACCTTGGATTTCAGAATGGCACCGAGTCTCAGCATTCAAATAAACACTCATACTTTCATGTTTAACACTTTGAATTCACACTCATGCTTTAAGGGTGCTCAGTACACTAAAAATACGCAACATCTTATGGAAAACCCTTTGTATTTTACAGTATCAAGGACTAAAGTTGTCTTTGCAGCTTTAAGAAAAGTGCTGAACTGATTTTTCTTTCTGAGAACTTTCTACCAAACAAGCAGCCAGGAATGATCCAGTATCAGCTTGGCAAACCTGACTGTTTAAAGGCAGAACAACGTTTTTTGAACGCAAGCTCTGGAAAGTAATTTATATCCCTATTTTCCATTCCCTTTTATTGCAACACATTTTCCCGCCAAAATAATCCATGCAAGAATGCATGACTGAAGGAATCTGCTCAGAGTTCAATAGTGTACTGTCAACTCCCCTAGTCTGATATATGGCTCTTAATTGAGGGAATTGCATCTTTTGCTCTCTCTTTTTTTTTAAACAGATTTTTAGGAGTGACTCCAAAGAAAGAGATAATGAAGAATAGCTGAAGAAAACCTGCCTCTCCAATGATCTGTGACTAGTTCAATAAAAGCTAGCAGTCATCATTCAAGAAGATAAAACATTTGTGTTTTGCAACCTAAATACAGTAAAAATTCTATATTTTCTGTTGACTTAGAAGTTACATTTGAAAGTTGATAGATAAAATCAACAAACTCTATTCACACAACAGTAACTGAATTCTAAATATATGATATCTGATGTGTTCTAAGCAAACAAGAGTAGTTAGATTCTCCCTTTGCCAGAAAGGGAAATATTAAAAAAAAAAAAAAAAAAAAAAAAAAAAAAAAAAAAAAAAAAAAAAAAAAAAAAAAAAAAGTCACACTGTTGCAGAGAATTGCATTTTCCAAAATAACTGTACACTAAAAAACGTATTTGGAGACTCTACAAGAACGTATATTGCAACTGAAAACAACCATAAAAAACAAGCACTTACAGGTTAATGGATTCACACCTATTTCATTCATATCCTATTCTCCAGACAGAAAAAAGGAAAAGTATTTCTGAAAACAACTGACTACATACAGCATTTCCTACTGAGGATTCTACAATAGTGCATGCTGTGTAGAGTAATAAATGTTTGCAGGATTGAGTCCTAAATATATTTGCTCAGTATTTGAGCAAAGTTACAAGCAGTTGCCATTGCTTGACAGTAAAAAGGAAACATTTTAAAAGATCATAGTTATAAAGACAAACATAGTTATAAAGACAAACATCAGTTAATTGTTTTCACAATTACTCCTACTTTTATTACCTAAATCCATGGTTTTCATCCTGTATTTGAAACCCATAATCAAAACACCGTTCTATGGCAGACCACATGACAGAAGCATATTTTTCAGAACAATGTTAGCAACACTAAACTTCTATTATTAGTTTTCTCTCTCCTGCCCCCCAGAATTGCACATGCTGCCACAGTTCAATGACTACAAAATGAACTAAACCTTTTGAGACTCTAGTGGGAAACGTCAGTTCATCCAGGACTGAGAGCATTCAAATACTGTAATCAAACCACCAGTGTTCAACATTATAAAACATTGATTCATATGTTGGTAATCTATGTAGATTTCTATAAACTTCTTGCAGGTCGGTATTTCAGAAGGGAATCACTCAATACAGGAAATATATGAATAATCACTAAATGCAAGGAAAAGTAAATTTCAGTTGCAAAAGGATCCTTCAAAATATCAAGTAAGCAATTTTTGGGGAAAAAGCCAGGTTGAATAGATATATACAGATTTAATTAGTGCAAGCCAGGTTTCCTCATGAAGCCAGAACTCAATCTGTATGCCTATATGCGTGCTCCAAGACAGTGCTTGCAAACATGTTTGTGGTATTTCAACAAGCATGATAAATAGTTGGTCATTGGTACACTTATCACATTTTGTGCTTTACGTTCTTTTCACAGCACTAATCCATCAGAAAAAAAAAGACATGCACACAAATAACAGTCTTTAATATCCCTAGATAAAAGTTGACTCAAGTCTTGCAGTAATTCTCAACCATGTGGCTTAGTCAGAATTTTTTCTTGCTTTGTGGGGTTTTTTTAAACAGAATTCTCAGCATTGTCAGGTTTAAAAAATAGTCGCTTTCTTTATCACTGTTAAGTCTTATGCACTGACACTTTTCTCATGTTCTCCCCTTGGATATTCCCTAAGCTCTAACCTAAGTTTGCAACTGTTGGAGCAATTCAAGTCCCCCTAAAGAACAGAAGATGAATAAACCAAGGGAACGCAGGATAGCAGCTCCAGTAAATAAGCTGATTGCCCTACATGGTAAGGATTTACCACATAGGATATCTCTCACCAGAGATAAAAATTAAGCTTTCGCCTTGAGAGTTCACTTACCTCCCGCAATTCAAGCCTCTGAGCCACTGCTTCCAGACTTTCCTGGCCCGTGCTTTCCACTGACAGCGTGAACTCCACGAATTCATTGTTGAGCAGCTGGATACGAGCCACCAAGCAGCTCTTGCTAGATACTGTGTAACGTCGAGTTCGTTTCAATTTTAACCCAAAAGGTAGAGGCATCTTCTTTCTCCCCCACAGATGGTTACTATTAAAGAGGTACTACCACCAGGACCTTGAGAGGGGACGGGAAGTCGTCTGCTCTCAACAGGTAAGAAGCTGTAAAGTCTCCAGAGATCAACCCGCAGCAGCAGTATCCATTAAAGACAAGTAAGTTTTCCACCAAGAAACAAGCAGAAGAGACATCCACTGGAATTCTAGTATGGAGCAAAAGAGAAAACAAATAAATGCAAGAATCAGAAATACTTTGATTGAAAGGGGAATGGTAACATGGGAAAAATAACATGTATATTTTTTCTAAATCTAAATAATCAGTCTACTTTTCCAAAACGCAGAGCTGTTATGTATTCAAATAATGAAATAAGTACCAGAGTTTCTGGTTTTTCCACAGACAACACTGTTTTTTGGCAAGTTGATTTCTTTTTTTTTAAACTCACAAGAGAATAATGAGTCTTAGTCAAATGTAGTTGCAATACCTTAAGTAAGTATCTATAAACTGAATCGGTACGTAAATGAAATACATCTACTAAGTCCAAGTTACCTACGGTATTTCTAATACTGAACAAAGCCACTTTCTCTACCAGCAAATGCAGCAATCTGGCTTGTTTTTCAGAGTGTCATACAGCCGCAGCCACTATCTGCTGCTGAATTAAAGGCAAAACTAAGCCCCATAAAAGATTAAGGGGGAAAAAAAGAAAGGCAGGGAGGCATCAAAGCTCACACCTCAGCCATTTTCTACCAGACAATTAAAATGTAATTCCTCTAATTTTCCCTGAATTACAGCTAGCTGTGCCATTATTCCTCATGCTAAACTTCTGTATGACGCTTCAGTTATGCTTTGCTTCACCAAAAGAGTACATGAATTCTGAGAACCCTTTATTTTCTACTTTTTCCTTGAAAAACATACTCATTTCCAGGTTACAGGTAGCCCACCCATTTCCCCACCTTTTGCAAACACCTTCACGTCTCCTCTCCTGTCAACTCCATCCAAAGCTTTGCCTTTCTCCTTTTTCAGGTGTTGGCTTACCACGCAAACCCTGACCTAAGAAATTTGTCATAGAATCACAGAAAGGTTTAGGTTGGAAGGGACCTTAAAGATCATCTATTTCCAGCCCTCCTGCCATGGGCAGGGATTCCATTTACTAGACCAGGCTGCTCCAGCCTGGGGCTGCAAGAGCTACGTGGGCCATGCCGGTGGGCCAGGCATTGCTGCCTGGGATAAAGCCACGCTGCTTCCTCTCCTCTCTGCCCGTGGACCTCTAGTGGCAGCGTCACCCCGCCTGAAAAAGGAAAGAAAACAGCCGCCTGCTTTTTTTTTTTTTTTCCTTCCCCCTCGGGTTGGTATGTATTAGTAGCACCTATTAAAAGGCGCTCGATTTCTGAGGATTCTCAGGATGACCAGACAGGAGCAACGTGAGGATATCCATTTCTTTGGAATGGGAGAACCAGAAGAAGTAGTCTTCCTATCACACCTGTTTTTAAACTCAAAGGTATAGCTATAAACAAACAGATACCACATACCGCTTGGACCTTTATACACCTACCTAGAAAATTAATGTTATCCAACACAACCTCAAACTCTTTAGGCTGAAAACCTTGCATCAGCCTCCCTATTCCCCTGCAAGCAGCACAGCACAGAAGAAAGGGAGGCAGAAAGACACTACAGGCCTTAAATGGGGAGAAAGAAGAGGCAGCGTGGCATTTTTCCCCAATGACATCTTTGCAACCCTACTCCAAAGAATGACCAGAAGCATATTTCATGACCGTATTTCTGATAATCTGGAAGCATCTCTACCATCCAACACAGTCCCTGTCCTCAACAGATATCACCTAAAATCTTAGCTGAATGAGAAAAAAACCCTGACCCAAACATAAACTAATTTTTTTTTGGGTGCAGCAGTAAAATAAATAACAACGGATAACAGGTTTCCCTGAAAAATGCAGGGATATACAGGGAATCCTAACTTCATTACTTGCTCTGCACTTTCATCCTCCAAATCCAGCCCTGCTTGAGCAGCATGCAGGGAATGCTCTACAGACAGAAGCTTTTAGTCCCCTGCTCACTGCCAGCAGAATCTCTCCCTGGGTTTATTCCTGTTAGAGTAACTTTTGGCTGACTGACCTCAGCCCATGTCCCCAAGCTTCCACCCCCTATTTTCCAATACATTCTTTGCACAGTTACGCTCTTTCTTTGGTGCTACAGCAATAAATAAAACCAACTCACTTCTCTCTTTGAAAGCTGCAGTCAGAAATGCGGTGCTGTTTAACCTCAGGTTTTACGTAGCACCACTGAATATGAAAGACTTTTCAAACTTTTGTGCCCATATCAGGCCCTTAAAAAGTATTCTAAGGGCATGGAAAGAAACAAAAAAATAAAAAAAAAAATCATTAAACAAAGGCCAATCAGACAGGTGAAATTTTCAAACCATTTAATGCTGACATGAGGAAGTCTCAGACTTTCAGTTATTTCTCTATGCAGTCAGGTAACAATGCAAGTGTAGGAAGAAGTTTAGAGCAGAATTTTCAGAACATGCCAGCCAGAAGCATTCTTCAGGTTAAGATCCCTTGTTTGGATTTATTGCTCCACTGAGCATTTTCCCTAAATCATTTCATTTTAACTCAGTACATGCCTGACATAATCTTCGTAACTCCTGAAACACACTTATAACAAGTAATTAATTTCCAGACCATGTCACAAAGGACCAACTAAAAGAAAAAAACTCCTGACCTATAAGAAATATTGTAGAATAAAGGTAAATTTGATGAATAACACTGAGGTATCATTCAGTATCTTCTACTGCTAGCCATGTGTAGTTCCTGCAAACACAGCTGTGCTGGTTTTATTTAGCAGCTGAATATTCTGCAGTGCTAGGTACTCTCATATTTGCCTTCTGCTTTACTTTAAATTCAGATACATCCGCATTGTTTTCAAGCTCCTTTAGCAAAAATGAACTACATACTGCCAGGAGTTACAAATCCAACTGATGACCTTTACAGTAACAGGCCTTTATTTACCAAGCCTGGAATTTTCATGCAACAGCTAAAAATACTGTTAGTGGCCAAAGTTTGTATACTTATATTTTAACAGAATCCTGTAGTTTCAAAAATGCTATATTAGAATTTCAGCAACATGGCCATGACGGATGTGTGATTACTGAACACTTTCTCTTTTGCCTACACCTCCCACTCCCTCAATTACTAGCATTTTACTTTATAAAGACTTTTTAAACAGCCTGCATGAATGACAGCAATCAAAATAAAACTGCAATACATGATGGTGAAAAGGGGTTCCTATTATTTCAAAGGCTTGAAATACATATATTTATTTCAGAAATATTTGGGGAGCCAAAAAAAAATAATCAGAATACTCCACCCTTCCCCTGTTTTACCAGTTAATCTTTGACATGACTCTTGGACTGAGAGAGCAGCAATAAGTGCGTATCTCAAACCTCCCCTACCTCCAGAAGCACAGTCCCCCGCCTTTACTTTTCAAAAACTAAATGCCTGAAACTCCCCAGCCTTACACTACACAGCAGAGAAGTTCACCCGCTATGTTTTCACTCTGCCTGCTGTTTTCCCCTTACCTTGCACAGCGATCCAAAGACACCGAGTCTCCTTTCACATACGTGTAGCTGAAAAAAGCCCTCAGTGCTCCAAGACTTTTTCTCCCGGAGCCATCTCATCTGTATTCCTCGGGAGCTGACTTACTGTGTTCCTCTTGTCCGAAACAGCTGCTATCTCGGCTAACCCACCTTCTTCTCAGATCACTCATAGTGAAAACATTCCTCACTTCCTGTCTCAAAAAACTTGCTCTGGATATCATTCCACTGGGTAAAGAGCTGGGGGGTGGAAGAAAATATTACAACAAAATAAACCTGTGCCAGCCAGCTCTTCAGGCGGCCTCTTTCATGGGACGCTGTGCCGCATGAGCGCAAATTGCATTCTCAGGAATATTTTCAAATCGCCCGTCCCTGTGTGCCTCTGTGTGTGTGCATTTAATTTCTTTTCCTGGAGGCGTTCCCCTCGCTCTATCCATGCGGAAGGATACGCTGAAAGAATTAAAGCGAAGGCCCGTATGCTTGTAGCCCATTACCTCAGAGAGTTGGAATGCTTGGCAGGGAGAATGTCAGCAATGAACAGCTGCTTCTCTGGCTACAGGGGCACTACAGAAATAGGGGTTACAACAAATAGCAGGCAATCCTTGCTTTTTTTAATCATATGATCATTTATTTTAAGCCTTTCCAATTAAGGCAAATCTCTTACCAAATTTCTGGTGGTCTTATTTTCACGCAGCTTGGAAATATTTTCAAGGTTTAATCAGTTTGTGCCTTATCAAATGACCTAAGCACATACATTTATATCTGCAGCTGAAAACAAAAGCCCTTGCAAAGTTTCAGCTGTTGGTAAGATACACAGCAAGAAAATGCAGACTAGAGGCTGATCTTTCAGCCCTTGTCTGGACTTAAAACTCCCAAAGGTGTCAATAGAAACCCTTAGTAACAACTGTCTTAGCAAGCTTTAAATGCATATCAAATCAGAAATATTTACAGTGTTTAATACAAACCGTACCAAGGGCTGCACTCAAGTCTCACAAGTATATGGAGACCTCTGCGTGTTTGTGTGCCTGTGAAATCTGCAACTGTTGCGTGCTATTTGGAATATTATGGCTCTCCCCATTGTGTGAGCCAGGCAAAAGTATATACAAACTTGAAATGGGTCAGGGATGAGGAAAAAGTAAAGTATGTGAATGCTGACTCATAACTGTAAAACCTAGAAAGTGTTTTGGTAATGTGAAGTGCACAAACATGCTACTGTCTGAGCAGGTCTAACCTGTAGGTCAACTATGCAAATAGCATGTTACTCAGGAGGACACTAATCTCAGCTGAAATATGTAGGTAATTTTGTACTATAATGAATTCTTCTGAGTTATTTCTCTGAGACACATTTGTCTTTCCTCAGATCAGAGAAATATCTCTTTTTTTCCTCTCCATACATCAGTCACAGTTATGATGAGCAGTCCATAAGCAAAACATAAAACACTAATTTGGGGGAATCTTATATTGAGTAAAAGTAACTTCGAACTAACCAAAATTTTGAACTAACTTTGAACTAACCAACCCTTTTCTAATGGTGTCTGCTACAGGTCAGAACTACGGTTACTTACTGGAAAAAAATCTCTAATACAGCATATGACAAATCCAAGCCATGAAAATTCAGAGTTACAAAGGCAACCCCTCCTATTTCTAAACAATTCATACTGGAAACAAGGTCTCAATTCTCTTATCTGTCACATTTCCTATTCTAATTCTTCATCACACCCATTTCCTGCCTGATTCCCTGCCTAGAAGTTGCGTTTATTAGACTTCCCTTGTTTTCCATAGTTAGTTCTTGCTGCATTTTCTTTCTTTGCATTTACATTAAAGACAATACCTCATCTTAAAAGAGACAGCTAGGATGTCAATATACTCCTCTACAGCCTGCATCGTCTTTAGAAGCTCCTCACATTTTTATACACAAATAATTTTTTTCTTCTACTGTTTTTTTTCATTTTGTAACCCAAGATTGTATTCCAACTTTGCATTTTTCTGCCCTTTCTCCATTTAGCCCTATCTCATTTTTTTTCCTCATTAGCTCTATATTACTTGCTTTGCTTCAACTATCAATTCTAATAAAAGGGGCAAAGAGACAAAGGCATCCATGAACATGGGATGATCTTTGATAAAGACACATCAATAAGATTTAGAGTGATTGTCTCAGGCCACATACTCTGCTTCTGCTTCCTTCTTTAAGCTCTGGTCAACACTCATGACGTTCATGGATGTTGACTACATTTTTGCTGCACTCTTTACTCTCTTGTTGAAGTTTATGTGAGGAAATGATTAATATCCTACTGCTGAATGCTGCAACCCTTGTTCTATGAGGACAAGGGAAAGTTTCTGCCCCTTAGGTTGGATAAGGCCTTCTCATAATGGAACAGGGATAAATCTATTTTGTTCCTATTGGCATTGTCCCTTCTGGAGCAGGTTTTTGTTGAGCTTTTTTTTTTTTTTCATCTTGGTCCAAATATCTGATTGCAGTTGAGTGTATCAACCAACAGGGTGAAGGTTGATGCAAATATTCACCTTATTTTGATTCTAGAAGCTCTCTCCAGCATCAGGTCTTTGCCTTGATGTAAACAGAAAGTTGGAAGTGAGCCAACAAGGAAGCAGAATCGGCCACCCTCGAGGCAGAAAAGTGGTATGCATGTGTACACTCCTCAGCCTAGTGGAGAGTTACCCATTCACAATAAAAACACAAGCAGGACAATCCGGAAACTGCTAGTTATAGGGGCTTTCCCACAATGCTGAAACAATGAAGAAGTCATGTGGAAAAAGATCTTGATTTACCCCATGCAAAATAGTGGCTTCATGAACTGAAAAGTCAGAATACTTCTGATTCTACATGTGATGCAAAGCTGTTCTCTGGACAAATTCATTTTATTCATCACTTGCATGTTTGGCTCTGTGTCTGAAGCCTCCTTGCTTTTTCATCATTCCATTTCTTATTTGTGAAAAACAAGAGATAGCTGGGACTTTGTGCATCCTTATATATTTGTTATGGTAATAGAGATAATCGAGTGCCAGAAAAATGAGTATACAATATGTCTATTACATACTTGAAGCATGCAATTTCATGTGTGCAAGATTCATTTTTACTTACGAGGTGCTGTAAAGTGTTGAACATGTTCTACTAGGTAACTAATTAGGGTTATAGAATTTTCCTGTTAGAAAAACAGGCAGTTTTCCTGCACAGAATACAGTGTTGAACTTGAAGCAATGAGCTCCTTTGTTATTTGCAAAGAAAACTTTTTTTTAACACAGTATTTCTTTCTAAAGTAAATCCCTTAGTTATGAAATAAACTTAATTCTTGTTTCTGCACTGCAATAATTATTTTTCTTGCTCCAATAATACTTTCTTAAGAGCATAAAGTGTCTCTTAAAGGTTAAAATCGTGTAATAATACTAATCTGTTACTAGTTCCATCTCACTGTAACACCAAAGTGTTATAACTACAGTCAGGCAAACAGCTCAGATCATTAGCAATAATTAGTCTAAGCTATCTTTGTATGATATTTGGTTTAAATCAGGAGCGGTGATGCAGAAAGAGATTAGCACAGCTGTTAACTACAATGCCTGGAGTTTATTTTAACCAGTGGCATTACTTGTAAAAGATCCTTTATCTGTAGGCTGGGCTTTCTATAATGTTACTACTCACTAGATCAGCTGAAGTGAAGCTGGGACACTGGTGCAAAAGATAAATGGTTTGCCTCAAACATAACTTCTTTTTTGCTTTCTTCTATCCTTACCCTGTACCTTTTCTCCACATAGTTCTTCCTCCCTCTGCAACTCCTCCCTTGTAGCAGTAAGACCAGCTGATATTTGTGTTGGGTTTGTGTCGCCAGGTTTTGGTAGTGGAGGAGCTACAGGGGTAACTTGTGTGAGAAGCTGTCAGAAACTTCCACCATGTCTGACCGAGCAAATGCTGGATGGCTCCAAGATAGACCGACCACTGGCCAAGGCTGAGCCCATCAGCTACAGTGGTAGCACTTCTGGGATGACGTGTTTAAGAAGGGAAGAAATGTTATGGGGCAGAAGCAAATTGTAGCCAGAGGAGTGAGAATATGTGAGAACAGCTCTGCAGACACAAAGGTCAGTGAAAAGGGAGGAGGGAGAGGTTCTCCAGGTGCTGGAGCAGAGATTCCCCTGCAGCCTGGGGTGCAGATCGTGGTGAGGCAGCTGTGCCCCTGCAGCCCACGGAGGCCTATAGTGGTGCACAGATCTACCTGCAGCCCACGCTGATCACACATGGTTGCCTGGAAGCTGTGAAACTGAAGGAAGCCCGTGGCAGAGCAGGCTCCTGGCAGGATCTGTGGCCCCATGAAGAGAGGAGGCCATGCTGGAGGAGTTTTGCTGCCAGGACTTGTGACTCCATGGGGGGCCCACACTGGAGCAGCCTGTTCCTGAAGAACTGCATCCCATGGAAGGGATCCACGCTGGGACAGTTCGTGAACTGCAGCCTGTGGGAACAATTTGTGGAAGACTGTTTCTCGTGGGAGCAGAGGAAGTATTCTTCCCCCTGAGGAGTGAAGAGTGTCAGAGACAACAGGTGATGAACTGACCATTAACACCCATTCCTGTTTTCCTGTGCTGCTGGGTGAAGGAGGTAGAGAACCGGGAGTAACGTTAAGCCCTGGAAGAAGGAAGGGGTGTGGGGAAGGTATTTTAAGATTTGGGTTTATTTCTTATTATCCTACACTGATTTGATTGTTAATAAATTAAACTAATTTCCCTAAGTCTATTTTGTCTGTGACAGTAATTGTTGAGTGATCTCTCCTGTCCTTGACCCACGAGCCTTTTGTTATATTTTTTTGCTCTTGCCCTGCCAAGAAAGGGGGATGATACAGCAGCTTTGATGGACACTTGGCAACCTTTTTCTTAGGAAAAAAAACCCCATGTTGTTTTAAGGCTTATCAATCTACTGTGGGATCACAAAATTAAAATTCAGTGCTAAAATCCTTTTATTATATAGCTGTAGTGGGACAGTAACAGTTACTTGGATACTGTGTGTAGTGCTATACCATCATTTATTTGGTTTTTAGCAAATAACCATTGAAAGCTTCAATTTGTGTGGTCCGTAAGAGAGAGCATTAACATTAAAATAACCTTGTAGTTGGTGTAAGGGCATTCGCTTACCCTAAGCCACGTGGCAGGGCCTTAAAAGAACCTGGAACGAAGAAACAGAGGCAACTTTACAAACGGTGAGTGTGTCCCTCTGGCAACGAGGAGCAGCCCACGGCACGCGGCAGTTTGGAAGCCCAGCAGAGGGACAGATTCCTTTATTCCCGTTGCTCCAGGCCGGCTCCCGCATGTCCAGCAGCGCCGGGCCGGGGCCGCCTCCGCCCGCCAGGGGGCGCCGCCGGCGGAGGCCGCGCGCTGCTCGCGCGGCGCTCGGTACCCGCG